TGGCGCGGGCCCTGCAGGTGCGGGGCGCGGCGTGCGGCCTGTGCACGACCCGGAACGGCCCCGTTCCCGGCTGGCTTTGCCTTGGGCTGTACCTGTAGGGTCAGTGCTGACATTTGACCCCATATCCATTCTACTTCCCTGAGATAGGCAGCTCTCCTCACTTTACGATCGCCACTCGCTTTACGTTTGCTAGTGGTCAGAGTGTCTGCGTTAAATCGTCCTTTTTTTCTTCTTTTTTTTTTTACGTGTGTGTGTGTTTGGGGGCTGTTTGTTTGTTTTTTGTTTGTGGGGTTTTTTTGCAGTGAATTGGAAGGATAGGTCAGCACTCTCGAAAAGAAGAGCAGGAAAAATTTCTCTAATAAATACAGAAGTCTGAAGCATCCTGTCTCTTAACTATTTTTAAAAGGCTCCTTTATGCCATGATACCCGAAAGATACTGTTAAAATTATAAGCTATTAGTGTGGTGTAGCAGGAGCTTTACAATGTGGCTTCTCTAAAGTAACTGTTAACCTACTTCATCTGTTAGACCTTGTTAAATGTATCAGTAAACCAGTAGTTAGGAATAATGTGGTGAAGCCCTAGGGATAAAAAGGATTTACGAAATCAGCACTGCAGGAATGGCTACTGCAAGAAACTGTGGTGTACAGCCTTTCTCACAGGTTGACTGAGCTTGATCTTAGAAGTACTCAGGCTCTTATTTTGCTATGACTGTTCGTTTTGGATAACTATTGCAGAACTCGCTTTCTGTGGTCATTAGTGACCTTTTAGTTTCAGTCAGTTTATTCATAGCCAGTTAATAACTATTCTTGTGCCAGCATTCTGTTCTATGCAAAACTCCTCCCTCATGATTCTGCCTCAGAGTGCATTTGGAGGGAGTGCTTCTGGTTTTTTCATACTTCATTTTGTTCAACTACAACCTAAAAACAAGTTAAATTATTCTGGTTTGTAATACCAGCTTTCAGTTTCCTTGCTTATCATAGGTCTTCTCTGCATGTGTTCAGTTTCAGTTCATCTTTCTTGAACACTTTTAACCAAAATTTTATGATCTTAATATCTTTTACTTAAAAAGAAATAAATCTTTTGATAGCTCCTTAAAAAAAAGAGATTCTACAGGAAGCTAGCAGTTGTTGGGCAAAAACTGTGATGTAAATGAGAGTTCATGCTAGCTGATCACAAAATGTTAGATACACAAGCATTTTTGTCATTACATTCTTATACAGCGATTTATTGGTTTATTCTTTAGTAAAAGCAGCGATTACAAATAGATCTGTGTTAACCTGTATAAAGCCAATAAGCAATAGCATATGTATGACTGTTTCTTTCTGGTGACTTGTGTTCCCAGTGGCAGTTGGATGGATGTTTGTAGGACACCTTTAATTCTAGCTTTCAGCACAGAAGGCTTCATCTTGGAGAGCGTTGCTTTCTTTTCCAGTGACGCTTAAAGCGATACAGTTTAAAGGAGTTAAAGTTGGTCACCCCTCTCAGAATTGAACTGTTATTTTACTGCTTGATGTCTTAATTTTAAAATTGCAATGTGGGAGCTGCATAATTTTAAATCCTCTCATATGATTAACTCTCATCTCATCGTTAGAAATAATCTGAGCTTGTTCTAGAAGTCTGTAACTAGTGTTTTGTTAGAGCATGTGTTGGAAAGGTGCTGAAACTCCTTACTGACTAAAGGTACTTTTGTATGGTCAGTGTTTTTAGTGGAGTAAATCAGTTATTCTGTGCATCTTTTAATGAATGATGAATTATGAAAATTCACTTCCTAGGCAAACTGGGTTGTATGTTACATAATGAAGGCAATGTAGTGGGGAAGCTGTGTGTGGTGAGCAGCTTCAGTCTTAACACAGATTGCACACTACTGTTCTGGTATATGTACCAGACATCTATAGAATTTACAGGTACTTAGTTACATGTTTAGTGTAAACAAATCAATCAAGTTTTCATCCCAAATTTCAATGCTTAACTATAAATAGGCTGACACTTAAATATGTCAAACTCTGCAGCTCCTATTGACCTTCAGCACTCTTGAAGATCATGCTGCTTATTAGAGAGACCTAACTTTAAATGCCTGTATGTATAAATATAAGCAGATAATAAGGCATTTTAATTACTGAGGAGTGATATTCTGGCCATCTCTATGTGGAGTTTTTTGTTTATTATCTACAAGATAACAGTACTCTTGCATTTCAGAAAAAGTAATAGTTGCAATAAATTGGGTTATGAGGTGCTTGCATTTCAAGGTAGTTTTGTGTTCCAGGTTTTAAAATAGGATGACAGACAGTTGCCTGCTATCATATTCAGCTTCATTGTTTATGTATATGGACTTTGTGAAACAATTTAAATAGTTTGAATTAATAATAAACATTTAGGAATTTAATTTTACATTTTTTCCCAAGTCTCATTAAAATAATGCTGTTCATCTTGTGTTTCTATATGCTACTACAGATCACAAGCGTCTGGTAAATTAATAGGTGGAGAGGAACATTTTTCAAGCAAAAAGTGCCTGGCTTGGTTTTATGAATATGCAGGTAATGTGCAATGGATTCATATTAAAAATGATAAAGTTTTGTTTTAAACAAAGCAATATATCAAATACTATTTGCAGTTTACTTTTTTTGTGCTGATATATACAGAAAAATGTCCATATTTGCTTCCTTATAACATACACTTGAATTAGTATAGCTTTTATTAGTACCTTCTCAGTATTTGCTCTTTTTCACTTACTTGACTTTATGCTTTCCTTAGCCACCAGCGTGCCTGTAACAAATGTGGATAGAACCTTTCCCAAATCTTCGTTCGTGAAGGCTAGCCATGATGATGATGATAGCTTTAAAATGAAATACCTGATGTTGGGCAGTACAGTGTTGAATGAGGATATGCTGAGTGATTCTGCTTCTTTCCTTTGAAATTGTCAAGTAGAAGTCAGGACATCGAGAGATAGTTTAGGTAGAAGCTTATTTAGCTAACTAGATCCTTTTTATGATCATATTGCAAGGCTAGTGCTATAGCTCATGATTTAAGTCTCATAGTTTTCTCTTTCATAAAACAAAATAATAGATACTTATACTGTTTTTTCCTATTTGAGAATCTGTCCTAGCATTTTTGATATTCTAATTAACAAATGTTTCATTCCAAAAGTATTGGAAGTAGCCTCTTTTAAGTAACTCAGAATTGCCATCCAAGTAATAGTTGCTTTCAGTGAATATGCAGTGTATTTTGCAGAATTTATTACACTATTACTGCTATTTATTTACCAAATATATGGTTACAAAATCAGGATTTGTAAATTGTTATTAATTTCTTGTCTAGTCACTACTTTAGATCCATCATAACTGATTAGTAATTAAAACTCATTAATGGTCACTTCTCAATATGAAACAAACTGCTGATTTATGTGCCAGCAATTAGTTTGACTATATTTATCAGGACTGATATTTTCCTTACAGTCTTTCCACAGCAATGAACTATTCTTATTTCTAGTAATCTGCTTTTTAATTTAAGTTTGAGGCCTGCACCTCTGGATTAAAGAGTCTTTCCTGAGGAAAATAAGAATTCTCAGTTAATTTTCTTCCAGTAAATATGGTTGTGCTTACTTTTAATGTCTGGAAATTTTGTCTTTGTTGTTGAGTCAAGAATTGAGTGTGGGAGGTTATACTTCATTAGTTAACCAGTAATCAAAATATGCCACATTGGACATTAAATGTTTTCATTGAAAGATAAAACTGCACACATGTACACACACACACATGCAGACATGTATGTACATACATACATATATATATATATATATATATATATATATATGAGTTGTGCATGTGATTTCTGGACCAAAAACACTGATTCAAGTTTATACTTGTCATTACCAGTGGACCCTTGTATGTGTTTCTCTTCATAACTTAAACTTGTATTTCTTTTTAACACATTCTGTGTAACAGTGTTTTGCCTTGCTTACCTAGGCAAAATATTCTTTGCAATATTTTTCAAGAGGTACAGTTTCATGATCTTAAATGTCAGGTGCATTTTATTTTCCTGTATAAGTAGCCATTCTCAATGGTTTTTATTGACAATGTTCTTATCTCACAGTGAGAAGTTATTCAAAGTGCATTATTCAAACTCTTACAAAGAATTCTGCTTACGCTAACCACAGCAGATACAGATGAAGTGAAAAAAAGTATCATCAAGGGCTCTGTCTACATATAAGTAGTAAAACTTGCCAAAAAATCATAAAATTACATGTTGTTTTAGAAGATAAAACCTTTTCCTTTTACATGGGTTCATATTTGTTAAAACAATGTTAACATAATGATCCAAGACACATCAAAATACTGTGTCAACAGGCCTTCTAATAATATTTGGCTGCCCAGTAGGACTCATTTTTGGAACAGGCTTAGTGGAAATAACTGAAACCAGAAAGAGATTTAGAGAAAGTGCTGTAGAGTGTCTCTCTATGCACTCTTTAAATGTGCTATTTTGCTGCATTTTGGAGGCCTTTTTTGTGTTAAAATGGAGAAGTGACAGCATAACACTAACTGTTGTGGTCTGAATCAAGTTATTTCATTGCAACCGTAAACCTTTTTCTGCCTTGTACATGACTAACACACTTAGCATTTCTCTGATTTATTGTTATTACTTTCTTCATATTACTCAGCATTATAAAAATAACCTTATATTATTTGCAGATTCACCCTCTTCTATGTTAGTGCAAACCCATAATGTTAGCACCATTGAAAGAGTGATATCTGTAATAGCTCAGATGGAATTAAATTTTTTGTTGTTCATAAATTAATTTTTCAAAGAACATTATTCATAGAGTAATTTCAGCACAGAGTAGTGGTAACCAAGTTGTCTTAAAAATAATTGACTGCCACAGTTATTGAAGTTGAGCTACATAAATAGGAAGCTCAATGGAGTCTTTTGAAAACTCACATAAAAAACTACAATGGCTTGTCTGCTTTTGTAGGGAGGTTGCACAACACAAACATTGTGGTGTAGTACGTAACACACATCTCCACACTGCAGTGGTAGAATAACTCTAACATAAAAACTTCTTAATAGTGTAATTCAGTGTTTTTAAAACTGCCTGTGTGCAGTATAGCCTAGTTATTGTGCATAACCCTTGTGAGCGGTGAATGTTACTTAGATTTCAGTGCAGTATAGCCTAGTTATTGTGCATAACCCTTGTGAGCGGTGAATGTTACTTAGATTTCAGTCTAGTGTGGTTTTGACTTTGAAGGTCCTGATGAAGTTGTGGGTCCTGAAGGAATGGAAAAGTTCTGTGAAGACATCGGTGTTGAGCCTGAAAATGTAAGTTTCTTGCACGGTGCTAATAGCATTTTAAAAGAGGATATTGGGTGAGGTTAAGTTCTGTGTAAAACTCTTAACTCCACTAAGTGAAGAGTTCATCTTCCTGCTTTTAGGAGCTGTTCTAAGATATCTCAGCTGAATACATCAATTATATTCGGTGTGTGAGGTTTTGGGGGTTTTTTATTATAGTAATATTTCATTTTCAGAAATTGAAATTATGGGGAGAATTGCATGTAGCTGAATTATTTAATAATAATAAATATAAAGTGCAAGCATGTGCAACACTTCCTAGAATGTTTGAATGCTTAAGAGTTTTATTCTTGAACATCAATAAATTAGCCTTTTCTTACATACTGACTCCTTTTTCTCCCTGCCCCCTTTTTTTTTTTTTTTTGCTTTCCCTAGATTATTATGTTAGTTTTAGCCTGGAAACTAGAGGCTGAAAGCATGGGATTTTTTACCAAGGAAGAATGGTTAAAAGGAATGACCTCATTACAGTAAGAGTGTTTTTATATATATAATAGAATGTTCTAATTTTATAATTGTACCAGTAGCTTAATTATTCTTGCTCTCAGTTTCTTGTACATTGGCAATAAGATACAGAAGTGCTTGCTTTTAGGTCTGGTCAACAACTACAAAGTGAATCTGATGAGTTCACTCAAATAATTAAGTTATTGTCTAAACCTAATAAGTCAGGTTTTGGTGGCTTATTTTTCTTACAAAAATATGTTAAAATATCATTCTAATTAGCAGACAGATAAGTAGATTTGGAAATGCGCATAAGCGTAGTTCAGCACTGATATTCTGGACAGATTTTACTGATTTCTAAGCTTTGTAGATAAGGACAGCATTGATAATAGTTTGGCTATTAGTGTTATTTATTAGATGCGTGTCAGAAACCATGGTTAATGCTTTGTTTAAATAACACCTTTTCAATTTATAAATTAACTTATTACTCTATTGTTAGCTAGAATTTTTGTTGAATTAATGTTCTGCCTAAAAAGACTGTTTCTTATGTTAAACTAATCAGCTTTTTGCGAGGCTTAGTTCAGTTGTTACTTCTTGTTTGTTCTTCATGGAACTACTTATGGTATCTGAGTGTTTTAAGAGAGGCTTATTATGACACTGCATTTAATATTAAAAATGTCAGGGAACTACTATTGCAGCTACAGCACAGCGGGAAAGAGAGGGTGATTTGACCATTGCCCTGTCAGTTCTGAATTAGTTTGGGAAATTGTATTGGGCAGATACTCCATAGTTTCAAGTAACCAGAGGATACATTACTTTGACCTGACTCTTAGCTCTCATTTGATTTGGGATCAGGCTTCTGGTAGGTGCCTTGATTGTTTTGTGACTATCAGCAGAAATTTAGTAAGAGCTGGTATGAGTAAATTACCTGAAATCTGGGATGACAGAGATTAAATTATGGTTGCATAGTTTTTCAGATATGGTGAGTGGGTATTGATCATTTCTCTGAAGCACTAAATTTTTATGCCCAAATTGAAGCTTTCAAGAGTTAACCAGTCTCATAGAGTTCAAACACAAAGATGTATGAAATCAGGAACCTTTTCCGAGCCAATGTTATAGATTTTGTTTCTAATAATCCTCTGTGGTTGGAAATCTTCTGATTCTTTTAAGAACGGAACTGGTCATGCTGTAGCCTAAATGTGTTTAAGACTGAAAATATGGTGCTGCTGTGCATTTTTATATAAACAGACTTGTGATCAGACCACTTGCCTAAGCCTAAACCAGTTAACCTGTATGTTCTACTTCCCCTGTGTGCTCTAATAAGCAGGCTGTAGGCTAAGCAGCTGGATGAAGCAGTGACACATAAAGCAGCTGAAGATGCATTGGCTTAAAAAGAGGTGCTGGTTTTGACTGGGAGTGAGCAAGTGGCTGTGTATGCTTACTTGCCAGCTAGGGTTAAACCATGATAAAAGAAAATAAGAATCTGTAGACTTGTGCTGTTCTTCCTTGCTGGGAAGGAAGGATCATATTATGAGATTCTGTCTGGAATGGGGGAATCTAGTTTCTCTGGAAAGGCTTGACAGAAGTTTTGAAGAAAAAAGATTTTATACTCCAAGCAATAAAGTATTACTACATTCTTGCACAGCATTTTTATAGTTTTTTGCATGAAGAAATAAGATGTAAATGCATTAAAAGCCCAGAGTGTATTCTAGTCAGTTATATTACAGAGTCCTTATTTCAAAATATGTGAAATGTCACATAAGTTAATTGCGTGAATAGGGTTAGGTAGAATTCAGCTCCATAGTAAGACACCTAAATGTGTGGTATATATGTAAGAGCTGGATTTCTTAAACTCTTAATGCAATATTTGGAGATCTAGTCAATGTAACGAAGCCTAGGGAGGTATTCAGTTTGCCCAAAGACCTAGTGACTGGTTACCTGAATTGCTCTTACAGACTGCTTGGCTATTCCTCTATGAATAACAAGACTAAAGCTTAAACCACCTAGATCTAATATACAGTTTAGATGGCAGCATTTGGGTTCCTGAATCTTGAAGTGACATTCTTTTTGTGTGTAGTTTCATAACATACTGAAGAAGTTTGTTCTTTAGAGGTGAGAAAAATATATGACAAGGTAGACCCTGTCAAAATTAAGAGTGGACTGAGCACTAAACAGCAGCTTATGAGACTTAAGCAACTTATGAGACTTAAGACATACTAGACTTGAGACTATTCCCTGAGTAAGCTGTGAAGTTTCTAGTAGATTGTGTATGTAGGGTGAATTCTGCTCCTTATCATATATATGTGTGTGTGTGTGTGCATATACATATATATGTACATGTATATGTGCAAGCTGGATGCCTGAAACTCTTTCCATAGAGAGCACAGAGAAACAAGTACCTCTACTGGGCAATATATTTCGGCTACTTTAAACACCTCCTTAGGGTGAAATATGTATACTACCATTAAATGCTTTTGGTTTAACTTCTGTATACATCTTACTGATTTTTCTCTTTAGTAAAAGACAAGCCTCTGTGAATAACTATGAAATATAAAACATTTCAATATCTGAGTAGGAGTTATTGAATCATCACTGTCCATTTTAGCTATGCCTCAAATGATCTCTTTACCTCAACAGAGATTAAAATACATCTGCTTTGTGATGCTAATTTAAGTTTTGTTATAAATGTGCCATAGGGATGTGATGAGAATGTAGTAAGCTAATGTCTAATTTTGTTCACCTTGAAGGTACCATTATTTAATGCTATTTTTCAGTTAAGGCAGAATGAGAAATCACATGTTTTTCTAGTCTCTACAGAAGTTTAGTGTTAATTCATTTGTGCTAATTAGAAGGTTGTTCTGATTGTTAGATTATTCGAAGTATGGGTGACCTCAGTCATCTTGTTTATGGTGCAACTGCACAAGCAGCTGTATCTTTGTAAAAGAGGAGTTTGACAACTCCTTGCCTTCCTTTGGAAAGAAAGTCTATGGCCAGGTACAGAATGGCTTTAACAGAGACGTGTCCCTGCATTGGGATCCAGAGGCTGGTGGTGCCTGTCTCAGCGTGATCTGTTTGACTGTTTGGTTTTAAATGATGATAATAAATAGCTCAGGAGTCTTGAGGCTTAATAATTGCACATTTTCGTACCAACTTTTTCAGAAGAATCACTTCTTCATTAAAATACACATAACCAATAATACAGTAGACAATAACTGGCATTTTACTTTGCACTTAAATTTGTGATAATTTGAACAATTTTAACAGTTTTGTAAGAAATTTAAACATGTTGAAATTTGTGTTTACCGATGGTACGGTAAATCTCAGTAAACTATATTTAGCAAAATGTGCTGTAAACCCACCTTAAAAGTAGCTTAAATATGTCACTAGTACACTAACAACACGAGCATTTACGTAGATGTTAAATAGGTAGATTTGTCCTCAGACGTACAGGGCATTCTACTGGAAGTATGAAGGTTTGAATATGGAAAGAAGAGATATGAATGTAAGATGAGATTCCTTTCTAGCATAGCATAATGCTGTTTTAAGGGTTAGAAAATTAGATTGCTGAAGACAAAAAAAAGTAATTTTATCTTCAATTAAATTTACCAAAACTTTTTTGACTAGAGTTCTTTTCAACTTCATGTATGGCTTATTGCAGAATATATTAGTTCTGTCATCTGAATATGTAGCCTAATTAGCTAATAATTTTATTTATTTAGCACTGATCATGGCTAGGACTCAGTGCTGCTTTAGATGGATACTGCTAGAGACAAGAAATAACAAAAGGCTGCATCAACTGGAATTGCTACATTTCTCTTGTCAAAGTCTGAGAGGGACAGACAGACAGACAGCTGTGCATACACAGGCTGGTAGACTTGGGGAACAGGAAGTATCAGCTGTGGGCAAAGTACAGCATCTCAGCAACCTGCTTTGGTACTCCAGAAGGGCCCTCACTGTGGGCCTATGTGACAAGTCCTTGTGGAGCTGTTAGAGATGCAGATGTATTCTCTGAGAGGCAGGCTGCGAAAAGGGGGACACATGACCAAAGGAAGTATTTATGTACCTCTGCATTTCTGAAAGTATTGCTTCTGTCACAAAGGATACAAGGAAAGGTAGATTATTTAATTTTATTTTTTTTTTTAATCATGGCAGCTATTTTATAAGAATAAAATGTGACGTAACAACTGTTCTTTTGAGTGAGTCTTTCCTGCAGGATTAGCAAGTGTAAATTACATTCTCCTTTGCCATTATGGGAAATCTAGCCCATTTTCTATTTGAAAACAAAGTTCCTTGCTGAGTAAAATACATGGAGATCTTTTCTGCCAAAGGGTTATTTTTACCAAACTATTATCCTGTCAACTAGCAGACCTGGACATTCTCCTACAGACCTTGATTTTTTTAGTTGAATAGCTACTGACTAATTCAGGTGGTAGGTTTATCAGAGCTTGCATTTATTGGTCATAAAATATGAGCAGGCTGTTATGTTTTGCAGAGTGCCAGCTCACTCCTGCTAGATTTTGCCACTTAATGCACACTGAATACTCTTTTTCTCCAAACTTTCATAGTGATTGAAGGATCAGGTACTGCTGGGTATGAGTGTACATTGCAGACTATGAATAAAAAGACTGCTATTTGAGAAGTAAAGCAGACATATTATGTTGCTGATATAGTTAAAACAAAAAAACTTACAGAAGCCAGAATTCATCATTTCAGTCAACTGCAAATGTTAAGTGTGTTCAATATTCTTTAAGTCACTTTTATAGTATTACTCCTGTATATCTGATGATTGCATTTTGGTAACTTTAATTTTTTTGTTTGCTGGCCTTTTTTTTCATTGCCTAAATGTTGTGTTTTGAGCTTCTAATGTTATTTGTTGGGTTTTGTGTTTTGTTTTATTTTAGGTGTGACTGCACAGAAAAGTTACAGAGTAAATTTGATTTCTTGCGGTCACAGTTGAATGACATTTCATCCTTTAAGAATATCTACAGATATGCCTTTGATTTTGCAAGGGTAAGACTACTGGAACATTAGAAAAGTTCTTACGTTGTTTATTCAGCAAGCTTGTACTTGAATGGTTTCCTGTGCTTTCTTTAATCAACCTTAGGAAAAAGACCAGCGAAGTCTTGATATTGATACTGCGAAGTCCATGTTAGCTCTTCTGCTCGGAAGAACTTGGCCACTGTTTTCAGTATTTTATCAATACCTGGAGGTACAAGTTTCCTTGACTTTCTGAATGATGGCATAGTAGTTGGAGTGTTCTGTGAAAAGATTTCAGGATTTGTGTTTTACTCAAGAATACATCTATATTGCTCCCATTCCCTTGCTCAATGTGCTTATGAAACAGTGTTCTTGTATGCATACAGATTCTTTTTCCCTGTGTCCCATCCCCTTTCTCTTATCAAAGGCAACTAAAATTCCATCCTAATTATACTGTAAAGATAAATTTAAAATTAAATAGTCTCCGTTAGTTTCTTCAGCTGCATCTCTGCTGAATTTCAAGTTTGCTTTGTTCAGATACAGTATGTAGATACCTTGATCTTTGGCTGTCTCTGGAAGATTTTGGTCAGTTTAGCTGTAAGTGAATGAGTCATGTGGATGTGCGTAGGTTGTGAAACATGCTAGGCTTGAGACTATTCCCTGGCTTCAAATCAGTACCAATGTTGCAAAGTAGATGTCTTTATGATCATAATGTATTGTACCCTGGAGAAAAGAAGATATTTTTTTTAAATAGCTCTATCTGGAAATAGATCTTAGATATGCCCCACTTCAGACAAAAATTTACCAGTTTTTTGAAGCTTAGAGTGGTAACTTCCTGATTCCACATTATTTCAATTTTGCTCTGATCTTTCAAGAAATCATTTTATGTAGTTTCATAACTAAGAAATATGTACATGTGTAGTATTTTTAAAAATGAAAAACCAAGTAAATAGTAGCCATTGTTCTCCATTAAATTCTTTATTAGGAACTGATTGAAGATAAAATGAGATAAATGAGATGCAACAGTACCAAACACCATTTGACATTTTAATGTTCTGAAATAATTTTCCCTAGCAATCGAAGTATAGAGTTATGAACAAGGATCAGTGGTACAATGTACTAGAGTTCAGCAGAACTGTCCATGCAGATCTTAGCAACTATGATGAAGATGGTGCATGTAAGTATTCTTAATGTTTTGCTTATTCAACTATTAGCACAATATTTTAAAATTCCATAAAACACATTTCTGTAACAGAAACAATACTGTAAGGTATAAAGTAATTATTCTCCAGCAATGCATAGGAAAACAGTCTTGATAACCATCCATCTTCAAACTGCAGATATTAGTTGTAGTGGTATGATGGTGTACTTGAACCAGCTTGTATTCAATGAGGATCTAGTAAAGGTGCTTGCTGCATGAAACTATAGACTTGAAAGTACAACTATAAACAGCAAACTCTCATTTTGTACTAATGTATAATAAACTCCAATTTAAGGATTATGTTGCCTACCTGCTGGTACTTGGAACTGAACACACCTAGTAGTCAGTGATGCTATGACTGAATTGCATTAATTCCATTTTGGTACATGTTCTAATTATTTACAATTTTGAAAGCTCTAGGAAGAAGGATTTAGTTGTGCTGATTTACAATATAACCTTATTTTTATACTTTCCGTTCAGTTCAGTGCACCTGTCAGATATCAGGAACATTTTTTTCCATAATTCTGTCTACCATTTTTTGTGCACTTTTTGCCACCCTTGGGTTGGAATGATTGTAGTAGTCTATGAGTATTTGGCCATAGGATTGACATGAATGTTTCCTAAAACAGTAGTTTTAACCTTCATACTTTAAGAGAAGATATTTGAAAGACATGGGCAAATATAACTCCAAGTTTCATCCATTTGCAGGGCCTGTGCTTCTGGATGAATTTGTTGAATGGCAAAAAGTTCGTCAAGCATCATAGCAAGAATTCAAAAGAAAATGCAAAAGTTTTTTTGGTGCCCGCCTGTACACAAAGTAATGAGAAAAAGGATTGCATTTTCGTTCGTAAGAAAGACTTTACAGTGATTTTTTTCCTTTTTAAGGAAACTTTCTTGTTACATGTGATATGGGCATTGAACCACACCTCTTCTGAGACTGAAAGTTGGAGTTCTTGATTTGAGTCTTATGTTTATAGCATTTATTTCAGAACAATAAAGATTCAGATTTGTGACAAAGGCCTAAAAGTGAAGAATGTCCCTTGAATGTGAGTGTGGTGTCTATTTTTGAAACCAAATCTGTAAGATTATCTTTCTCAGAAGTGCCCTTTCTGTGAATTTTTGAAGACCTTAAAAATGCTTAATTGGCACTGTTGCTTGCTGATGGTATGACTGTCTTGTGTGGCAAACATTAGAAAGAATGACTGATTTATGAAGCCTTTGGTGGGAGTGTGCTATTTTCTGTATCACGTATTGGTCATGGGTTGTGCCACAGTTTTCAGCTCCTTGTGGAGATAAAGGCCTTAAACTCCTGTTATTGTTTTTTATTTCTTTGTTCATTCCCCACCCAGTGGCATGGCATTTAATGGCAGGCCCTTTTAAAGCAGAAAGATATAGAGCATATGGCTCTGTGTGCAGAATGGCTGAAAACTAGTTGCCTGTACTTCAGATGTGAACACAGATACTCTTTGGTACAGTAAGGCAGTTCCAGACCTTTACTACTATTTAGACTTTGGATTGCTTTGTATAAAAGTGCAATTTATATTTTAAAAGGGAAAGCTGGAAATACTTGGTTTCAAGGTTTGCTTCTTATGTGTTTTAGACTGGAAGCACTCACAACAGGACTTTTTTTCTCTCCCTGGATGTTTTTTATAATGTAAGTCAAGAAGAGACTACTTAATCACCTACCTGTGACCATGTAACAGGCTGTATGTAACAGGCTATTAATTTTCACCCTGTTACTCTGTTTTCAGTCCAGTAACTACTGCAATTGCCCTTTTAGGCATTCAGTATTCATTGCAACCTTTAAATACAGTAGGAATTTGTCACTCTACCTTCCTGCCCAGAAGGCCTAACACCACCCTTGAGAAGGAAAGGGATTTTAATGAATAAATGTGAAAAACCAAAACAAAATGACTGAATGAAGCATTTGTAACTTCTACTGTATTATATAAATATATAATATAGACTGTGATAATGCCATGAGACTCAGTCAGTGATCAAGGCCTCAATGTGCCAAATATTTCAACAGCTTGAATTAAGAATAATGTAAACTAGGCATGACTTGAAGATCTTTGCCTCAGGGAAATGACTTCTGTTTTGCACATCCCTTAGTCAGAGTAACAAGCATGAGTTTTCCTGTCCTTAAGGAAAGCTTTATTCCCAAGATGATTTTTTTTTTTTTTTACAAGGAGAGCAGAAAAAGGAAAAGGAAAGGTGTGAGGAGAAATGATAAGCAGGGGTGCAAAGTAGTGGTGTGTACCTGTGCTGTTGTTCTGCTACTGAGGACCACACTTACAACTTGCACTCCAGATCTGCTTGCTGTGGGCTGCAGAAAGCAGTGCAGTGGTGGGCCAGGGGCTGTCCTGCAAGTCATGCTGAACTTTAGAAGCTTGGTTTCACCCAAGTGGAAAAAAGCATCGGGGGAAAAACAAACAACAGTTGAGATGCTTGGAAGATCTCTGCTTGTACAATGGCTATGTCTGTGTGCATGCAAACAGATGCACTACAGCTGTTTTACATATTTTTCCACTTATTTTACAGGAAGTATTTAACTTTAGACCTCACATATGCTGTGTCATTTCTCTTCAGTGTGTTACAAGTTGCCCATTTGCATTGCTGATAATTCTGATTTCACTCATAACAGAGTGCCTTTCATTTGCAAATTGCCCAACCCCACAGAAAGTTTGTGCCAGAATGAGATTAACTTCAAGAGTCCCAAGGCCTACTGGTACAGTAAAGTCCTAAGATGCGCAGATAAACATGCACCAATTAACTGATGTCAAGGGAAGTACTGCTGTATACTAAATCACTTCAGGGATGCTGATTCTGAAATGACTTTCTCAAATTCACCAGAACTACTCTCCTTGTGTACCGTGTTCAGTCCCCACTGGGATGTTCTCTTTCCAGAAGTTTTGAAATACTGGTTAGAAGAGAATATTTTATAGTGCGATAAAAAAATCATCATTTTTAGGTAACTGCAAACAGTTGTGAATTCAATTTAAACCAGTTGGTCCTAGAGGATGGTATTAGACTAGAAAAAGTAGGAGTGATGCATCTACCAATCCAAGGGGATCAAGTGCTTACTGTTAAGGTGTAATACACTATGTGATGTATCATTTGTATCGCTGTTAAGGTTTTATCAGTATTCCTATAATAAATCCATTTTTCAGGGATTTATAACTTGGTTGTCTGTGTGATTGAAAATCATCAGTTACTGTAAAACTTTAACTGGGAATGAATGTATTTAAACTAGTTAAAATCAATATAGTTTTTCAAATTTGAATAAAATAGAATTTTACGTTATGTTTTTGTGCTCAAAACTACAATCAGACTTACTGTTTCAATATGAATTAATGGCTTGTACAGTTTCATTGTGAGCAGATCACTTTTATTAGCTGTCTTTTATTACTTTACCTTACAGCTGGCTGGCATAAGTGCCAATAACAGTCAATTTGTTTGGGGTTTTTTCAATTTTGTGCATGTCTGCAAATCAAAACTGAGTTCTGCTAAATGTTTTCTTTAGCCTTTCAACTTTTTGTTTTGTTCAGGTGCATTTCAGTCTATTGAATTAAAAGAAAAAAGTTACACCTTATCTTTCAGTTTTTTAAGATGAGAGTTAACAGGTGAAATATGCTGCCACAGTGTGACAAATAATTAAATCAAAGGTGAAACGTCTTCCAAAGCTAAATCACAATGGTGTCTATCTTAACGTTCTGAACTTCACGCTGATTTCACTTTCATTTCTTGATATTAATTCTTCCTAACATAATTAATTACTCCTGGTGTTCTTAGACAACTAACAGTTTGGTTTAAAATCTGAAAACACTCACCTGCTCATGGAAAAAGCCATACTGGTAGATCAGAATGTAATATTTCTCCTGTGTAAAAATGTGATCTTGAATTAAACAGTCATTTATGTTTACCTGTGTCTTTATCTGTATATGTGTATAAACTACATATATATTTATGTAGTTTTGATCCAATTTATCTTTTCTGTTTAAACATCTAATTCTTTACTAGTGGCTGTAGTTTCACACTTCTACATAGCAGACTTTGAATTTGGCATTTGAGATGACTATGGACACCAACCTGGTACTTGTCTTGGCCAAATGTGGTCTCTATGGCCATTGTTCAGGGGGGTTTTTTTGTATCTCTCAAAAGCTTTGAGCTGATATATTGATACTGACTGCACAAAAATTGCAAAAGGACCATTAAGTTTAATGTTTCTGAAATTTTGTTCATTTTTTGAGCTAGCAAACAGTTCTTTCCATGCAATATGTACAAACTTGTACAGGTTTAGCTTTATTAAGTATGATGAATAAAATGGTATGTCATAGGGCAGAAAACTTATTCTTCTTGTCATGCTGCCTCTTAGTTTTTCTTTTGTGTTTTTGAGTATGTGTAACTGTTCTTAAAATCACTGAGAGACTTAATTCCAGCAAGATGGATCAATCTAATTGTTAAGTTAGCCTTACTGAAGAATTTCTTAGCTTTTGTGTGCAGATGTATAAAATAGAACTTTATCTCAACTGGGAGCAACAGCAAACACCATTCTTGATTATAGCCCATGTTATTAGGTGCTGATAGAACATAATGGTCTTGGAAATTAACTATCATTAATTATTCGTTGGATGAACACTGTTCCAACAACCTGTTGCAATGCATGTGAATGAAGAAAGAATGAGTTTTTCTGTCTTCCCCAGATGCCTCCCTTCACCTTCCCCCATTGTATCTCTTTGGTCACTCATCTGTGTTTTCAGAAAGGACTTAATGTTTTCTAGTGCACTCTTCCATAGGGTCTTTCAGAGACAGTTACAGAAAGGATCCAAGATAACATCCTGTCATATGTTTGAGTTAATCACACTGTTTTCCTTGCAGATGCAGCTTGTTCCCCTCTTGACACTTTCCAGTTGTTGAGGTCTGATGCCATACCTGCTTCAGAACAGTCTTCCCTCAGTCTCTCTCAGGCCTAAGGCAATGCCTGTTTGTTGTCTCCTAGGTTCTGCTTTATCATCTTTTCATAGTGAAGTTCCTAATGCCTTCCTGAGTCAGTAGGAGTTTAGTGGTATATGCACAGCAGGCATCTTGCATCTACAAGGTGATGGCAAGAGTTCTGTTACTTCTCTTTACCCTTCTGTATTATTCTTTCTGTATTCCTTTCTGTGAGAAAGGACATTGTAGTGATAGATAAGTGCGTTAAAGAGTGAACATGTAAGTGCAACATTACGTTGCCTATGTTATCTTAATTTTTATGTTAAGCCACTGCCAGGCTTGTCACCAAAATGAAATCAGTTTCTCAGACTTGTGTGTCACTTCATCCAGATTCTAAACGTTAATCTTGTTCCTGTTTTTGTCCTTGTTAATCAGAGTATGACATTTTCCACATATTTGAATCTCCTTAGTTTTTTTTCTCTGAATAGTGACCATAATAGCAATGACAGGAGATGTAAGTTACTGGATTTCTGTTTTATAGGCCTTGCAGTGGACAGATTTTTATCTTAACAAGCCAAGTACTATTTCTTAATTCAAGTTGGTTCCAATGTATTTCTATTGAATGACTTACTACTTTGTAAGTTATTAAAATGTTGTGGTTGTGTCCTGTTCCTCTGGAAAGGAGAATGCCTTTCGATAAAGATGCTTTAAACATGTAAAATTTTTCAGCTTTTAAATTAAACTTCTCCCTAATTTTGACAATTTAAGGGGAAAAAGAATGACTTCATATTTCAAGGGTTTGTCTGTTGTATATTTTTTTAATCAGCTCAGTAGTGAATTTGTGCTGATTATAAGATAAAGGTATTTTTGGCTGATTTCAATTATAGCTAATATGCGACTTAGTTTTTTCCTTAGTGTTTCTAGAATTATTTAATTTATTTTCACCATTCATTTTATGGTAGTGAATTAAAGGGCTAGAACATAGAATTGCTAGCTAGCTAAATTTTTTTTCTGATACTAACACTGAGGTGATTCTTCTTTTATTTTTTTTTAAGTATTAGAATATTTCAGGAAAGGCTGTTGTGCCTATTTAAAGTAA